GATGAAATAAGAGAGCTTTCTGACCCTGCATAGACAGTAACAGAACTACCACATTCAAGAAGACTGAAACTGAAGAGATGAAATTGTTGAATGAAGTCATTATTTTTGTTTTCTTTGCGCACAAAAAGTATTCTCGTAGCTTCATAACATTAAGGCTGAACCACTGATGTCACATGGACTATTTTAATGATGTCCTCACTACCTTTTTGGGCCTTGAATGTGGTAGTTGCGTTGCTGTCTATGTAGGGTCAGAAAGCTCTCGGATTTCATCAAAAATATCTTAATTTATGTTCCGAAGATGAATGAAGATTTGGAACATGAAAATGAGTAATGACAGAATTTTCATTTTTGGGTGAACTAGCCCTTTAAGACTTTTTAACTTTAACCCATTGCTAAAATATGCGTTCTCCTCCAGTGAAACGTGGATTATTGAAACGTGGATTATTTTGATGTTTTCATCAGCTGTTTGGACTCTCATAGCTCACAACACAGACATTTAGATAGATATGCAAGTATTTCACATTTCACTCTTCTCCCGTTCATAGCTGACAGGCACTCAGTAGCCTGGCTTCTAATTTTATTTCTCAGCAGAGGTCAGTCGGGAGATGGTTGTTATTGCTGGTATTATTGCTGCAAGACACTGTTTAACAGATGAAGTGTAACTGTCAACACTTCGTTTCACATTTTAGCGCCCATCCTTCCTGTTTCGTTGCTTTTACTTTACTTTGAGTTCATAACTTATTTTAGTTTTCTCAGTTTAGATCAGCTTTCTGCAGGGGCTCATAAGCTGATAAAAAGCTAATAATTAATTATATTAAATATAAAATCAACAATTGCATAATATAGCTTAGCACAATTATCAAATCAGAGGCTGCAATTTAATTAATTAAATGTATATTTTGTTGCACTGCATGTTTCAGAGTGAAGTGTGACACTGTGTTTAGCACATACGTGTTCAGCTGATGATCTGGTGCTTTCAGCATCTCAGAGCGTCTCGGTTCACAGTAAATGCAGTGAACTCCATCTCTGCATGTGCATTTAATGTGTGCTATAGGTTTCCTTTATTTATACACTCACATAACTTCCAACATTTTTGGAGAGAAGATTACAGAATTTCATCAGGACTCTGTCAAAATAAAAGCTTGATCATTTAAACTGTTGAAAGGTCGAGGGTTTGAATGTTTAAACGTTTGAAAGTGAAGAATTTAAGACAAATATCATATTGTAACTTGTAAAAAATTATCACATATTAATTTATTTTTATAGTATAGTGCAATTGTAATTTACAACAGTAATATATTTCTTTTCATCATTTTTATAATTCAAGTTGATAATATTAATTATAATAAAATTATGAATAATATTAACAACAACAACAATTTTTTCATTCAATTCATCAAAGTATCATTAAATTAGACTGGGTAACTTGAACTGAGACTATCACAACAAAAAAGAGGTTTGATTCAAAATCACATTTAAGCAGCTTATAGCTATTAAGCTCAAACAAACATTAATAAATAAAATGAAGTGTAACTGTCAACACTTCGTTTCACATTTTAGCGCCCATCCTTCCTGTTTCGTTGCTTTTACTTTACTTTGAGTTCATAACTTATTTTAGTTTTCTCAGTTTAGATCAGCTTTCTGCAGGGGCTCATAAGCTGATAAAAAGCTAATAATTAATTATATTAAATATAAAATCAACAATTGCATAATATAGCTTAGCACAATTATCAAATCAGAGGCTGCAATTTAATTAATTAAATGTATATTTTGTTGCACTGCATGTTTCAGAGTGAAGTGTGACACTGTGTTTAGCACATACGTGTTCAGCTGATGATCTGGTGCTTTCAGCATCTCAGAGCGTCTCGGTTCACAGTAAATGCAGTGAACTCCATCTCTGCATGTGCATTTAATGTGTGCTATAGGTTTCCTTTATTTATACACTCACATAACTTCCAACATTTTTGGAGAGAAGATTACAGAATTTCATCAGGACTCTGTCAAAATAAAAGCTTGATCATTTAAACTGTTGAAAGGTCGAGGGTTTGAATGTTTAAACGTTTGAAAGTGAAGAATTTAAGACAAATATCATATTGTAACTTGTAAAAAATTATCACATATGAATTTATTTTTATAGTATAGTGCAATTGTAATTTACAACAGTAACATTTATTTTCATCATTTTTATAATTCAAGTTGATAATATTAATTATAATAAAATTATGAATAATATTAACAACAACAACAATTTTTTCATTCAATTCATCAAAGTATCATTAAATTAGACTGGGTAACTTGAACTGAGACTATCACAACAAAAAAGAGGTTTGATTCAAAATCACATTTAAGCAGCTTATAGCTATTAAGCTCAAACAAACATTAATAAATAAAATATGTGCCACTATTAACCTACGCAGACAACAATTAAATGTCTGTCATGCATATTCTGCCAGGACATGTTAAGTTACAGACTCAAAATATGGGTAAAACACCAGAAAAAAACAGCTGTAAAACACCTAAAACACATTCATTTATATTCTTCTAAACATGCATATTTTTGTATTTACTTTGGAAAATACATGTTTCTGTGATTATAAATGATTGCTGGGGAGTGTACCTGCTCCCTGCAAGAACAAATAGCCTATTATTCTACAGGCACTGAAATGCACAAACGATTGGAAAATGAAATTTAAGTTTTTCCACCCCACTGATGCTGCATGATATTGCTGTTCCATTTCAAGCGTCCAAATAAAGCTAAATATAAAAGGCTTTCAGGAAGTGATCTATCTACTCATTGATTGTCTCCATGTAGCCCACATAATGATTTGTGATCTGATTTCATTGCTAAAAAAAATATTTATGGGCAAACATCAATGTAAAGTGAAGCATTATATGTTATACTGTAAAAGTCTTCATCTATGTAAAGGCTATTTGATGGTTTCTGAGAGCTGTAAAGCTCACGCACTACTTTCAGATGATGGGAAGGCATTAATCTCTGAAGATTACACACCAAAGAAACTCAATCCAATTAGCTAATTACAGATGTATTGACGCTAAATGTAGAGTGAGAGAAATGTGTGACCTCCTGTTAAGTTTATGGTCCATTGCTAAAAAAAATATTTATGGGCAAACATCAATGTAAAGTGAAGCATTATATGTTATACTGTAAAAGTCTTCATCTATGTAAAGGCTATTTGATGGTTTCTGAGAGCTGTAAAGCTCACGCACTACTTTCAGATGGGAAGGCATTAATCTCTGAAGATTACACACTAAAGAAACTCAATCCAATTAGCTAATTACAGATGGATTGACGGTAAATGTAGAGTGAGAGAAATGTGTGACCTCCTGTTAAGTTTATGGTCAGTGTTTAATTTTAGTTCAGCTGTTATTAGCAACTCTATTTCGCTTTGTGCTTTATTCTGAACCAGTTTCAGTTCCCTAATTTATGTTAAACATTGGACTAAAGTAGCTTGTGATGTCAATGGTTTTCCAGTCACATTAAACAGGTTAATTTGAATGTTTTCCATGCGCATGACCATTTGTAACTGTCTGTCTGTCCGTTCAGGTTTTGAACATAGCTGTTAAACGTGTAGAAGTTCAATCCTAAATCCTATATAATATTATATATTTACCAAAACACTGTGGTAATGAATCATATCTGGAACAAAATGCTTAAACTTAATTACACAATAGAGTTGACACCAAAAAAAATAGTGACACCACTGTCTAAACATGCTAAATAAAAAATATCATATGAAATCCCCTTTTTCAAGTCACATAAAACGAGTCACGGCCACAAACAATGACAATATATTTTCCAGAGGGCCTCATTTTGTCTGGGGGAAAACGTTAATGCATTACGTTTTTTACAGTCGTCGTGTGTTCAGGGTGGAGTACTGACAGTAACAGTCACTACATGTGACATTTAAGGACATTTTATGTGGTTGAGAACAACCACAAGAGTATTGTGTGGGATTTTATGTTTTCTGTGGAAACTCGACGCAGCATGTAAACACAAGGCGCAATGAGTCATGCAAAATGCAAAGATTTGGTAGGGTCGTCTTTTCAGGAACTTATGTCTAAACTTAATTAAACAATGCAATTATCACTACCGAATAAAAGAGTAACATAACTGTCTTAATAGCAAGTACTAGCTCACCTGCTAATTTCAGCGCCACCGAACGGAACGCAACTGCAATGATAAACTTTTTTTTCCCAGAACACTTTTACGAATGCGTCCGTAGCCCCGCCCACAACTCACGCCATTGGTTGAATCGTCAATTAGTATGTAATATTAATGCATATTATTAATAACGCTACTAATAGTAATTATTATTATTATTATTTTATTAATTATTTATTGATAATTATAACATTTATGTTTTTTTTTCTCTAATATATATTTTTAATATATATTATATCATATTATTTTCTCTAATAAAAATATTCACATTTTTAGCTAATGGACAACAGGTGTTCCGCAGGACTTCAAAGACTGGCTCAGCCTTGCTCCAGATATCAAAGGTGCTTCAAAAGCAGCAAGAGACCAGATGTTTATAAACCTGGAGCATTGCGATCAGCTTGAGATAATGAAAATATTCCTCTTCCTGGATTTTATAACAAGAACTCCCTGTGCCTTTCAGAACATTTACTGATGGAATTATTGGTGAAGTCCATAAATGAAGTTTTTTTGTTTTGTTTTTGTTTTTAGCAAATCTATGACTATTTGTTCCCCTTCCTGGATTTTATAACAAGAACTCCCTGTGCCTTTCAGAACATTTACTGATGGAATTATTGGTGAAGTCCATAAATGAAGTATTTTTTTTGTTTTTGTTTTTAGCAAATCTATGACTATTTGCATTGTTATCTGTATTTATTCTGAGTGAACCATTAAAGTTAGGTGTCTTCCAAGTGTGCTTAGGTGTGATTGTGCATAAGAATAACAGAGATTTCAAGTGCTAAAAAATTATACTTTATTAGTTTTTGCTTAATGGGCATATTTAAAGGAAATACATAAGTAATGCATAAAAATAAATATAAAGTACAACATAGAGTGTGTCTAAAAGCTTAAAAGTCACATACTGGGAGGTATTTAGATGTAGGTGTACATGATTCAGAGTGCACAAAAACATTAATCATAAAATATAACTAATATGCATCAAATTACAAGAATAAAGGAACAAAGTGTCCCTTGTATAATATGATAAATAATTAAATTTAATGTAATATTGACGTGAAATGCACTGGAATCAAGTAGTGCATTTCAAAATTTTGTCATGTTGTCAATTCTGAGTCCCTCTCAATAATTCATGTGTTATGACATTAAATAAAAAATTAAAGAGAACATTACAAGCAATACCTTCATGCTATCAATGGCATAGAAAACAATAAAGCCAATATTAAATGTCTGCAAGACAAATATGGTTTTGCATAAAACTACATTTCTACGGCAACACATTTGAGTGAACATGTCAAAGAATATAAAAAATTCCCTTCATTTTCATAAGTCTACAGCCTAATGCACTCCTTTTTCATTCCCTACAAACACAACAGCATCCAAACTTACTTTATTACTCAATTTATAGTTGTAATGAATTAAAAATATAAGGTGCGTAATCTTGTTCCCTACATGCGTATATATAATTTTAAAATAAGAGAATTCTTTTAGAACATATATTTGCTGCATATTTTGACAGCTGTAATTGATCCATTGCATATTTATTTTGGAATCCCACATCTAGAAAATGTTTCACCTCTTTTAACGCTGTGTTAAAAGTACACACAGCACATTTTCATTAAACTATATACAGCAGCCAAAAGCACTGAAGCCCAATAGTGACCTTGTTTTTGTTAACCACACCCAGAATTCCTTAACCCTTATTACAACCCACAATTTCACAGACTTTCTGAACAACTATATGGATTTGATAACAGCCAAATATTTCTGTTTCTCTTTATAAAAGCAAACTCTTGGACCACTAGCACTATAAAGTTTGGGGAACAATTGCTTGAAACGAGACAAATGACAGAGAAGAACTTAATTACGAAAGTAAGCAAGTGCAAACAAGAGTGCCATACATAATCTTTAATAAACAGACGCAATCTCCCAAATTAGGCTGCACTAATGAGAGGAAGTTGCCGTTTTCCAGTAAACACATACACCATACACATACACAAGCTACAGTTCTTGAACGAAATGCTGAACCAGTTAAATTACACTAAGGAATTTAGTACACAAATCGGAGCAATATAAAGTGCTTTCTATTCATACAGTGGAATGTAAAAGTGAGCAAGAGAGCTGTTGTTTAAATCACAGCCCCTCTAATATTAATATAATAATAATAATATTAATAGCACGTCTGCGAGTGTGAAATTGCTTTTAACAGACCAATAAACAAGTGTATGTGTTTTTGCTCCACTAATGAAAAAGGTTCCAAACGAAGCCACAGCAAAATTGCTGTGCGTCTCTGAGGAACACAGAGTATTGGCGTTTCATTCCTCAATAAAGAACGTTTTTGAATGTTTCGAATTAGCGTTTTTGAATTAATCAGTTGAGTGAATAATTCAATGACTCACTCATAAAGACAGTCATTGTTCTGTTCCTGAAAGAATTAGCATTTTTTAACAAATTGGCTGAATGGCTGATTCAACTAATCACTCATGAAAATAGTAACTTGTTGCTATCTACTGGTGTATTATATTATGTAACGATACTAGTGAATGTTTAAAAAGTGTCTTATGACCAAGAAATACTGCAACTGAAATATTGCTTCTTCATTTTACTTCATGAAAATTCTAAGTCCTAAAATTTCCAGTTCCCTAAGATGAGTATTTCTAATTTCCAAAGTTGAAAGCCCAAATTTTCATTGTGGTCTCAGACTTTGGACTGCATTGTATACATTCAACAGCCACTCAACAGATGGCAAGCATGCGAGTTATCTGCTAGGATGGATGCTTTCTTTTACTTCAGTGTTTACTTCCCTATAAACTTCACTTGATAAGACCAACTACTGGCGCCTGGCAACATGTGACTGGTGGTTTTAATCAGCTTACAGGTCATCAGAAGCGCTTGAAGACGGAAGCACTGACATTTATATAACTACCTTGACCTTAAAGCGAGCGCAGATAGAAGGCACTAGTGGCAAATGCAGCCATTAACCAGTCCTGTGCTCTGAGCTTGAAAGCATCATTAGAAGCAGACCTAACTTGGCCAATCAAGAGGTTGTATTCCCTCACAGTTTTGGTGTAATCGAGTTCATGGGATGTACATTTGTAATTGCCATGTATGTCAGTCGTCATGGCTGGAATGAGGAGGAGACATTCTGATTGGGTCTGCTGGCCTGGGATGCTCTTTTGATCATGTTCCCATTTGTAAGTGGCATGATTGGAATCAACAGGACAAGAGAGGTAGAAGGGGACGCCAGTGGGCACAGAGAGTTCAATCCCTAATGGAGCTGTCAATGCTTGTTGCACATCTCTTGTGAATCTTCCCTCTTAAAAGACATTCGTTAAAGATAGATGTGTTAGGAAGATGGGTTTGTCTTAAAAACTGAGCAAAAATGATACACAAAACAATTAAATTAATCTTATACCTGATTTTTGGTGACATACTTTAGTGAGTCCATCAGCAATGTTTTGTATTCCTCCTCTGAAACACAGTCCAAACAGAAAAAATATTAAAAACAATGCTAGGGTGTACAATACCCAAAAAAGACAGCATTTTAAAGCCAACATCAGTAAAAATAATATCATATTCCTGAACTAAAACATATAAAAGCCTACTTAGTTTGTGATGTGCAGCCTTGTTCAGTCCAAGCGCAGTATGGATCACGGGAAAGGACACATTCTTCACAGGAAGCATTGTAGTCTTGACATCTCTGCAGGTCTAACACTGAAATTTGACCCGGATATCCTACAAAGAGCTTCCTCTGCAGGCAAAATCATCAGTGGGTGAATGTGCAACAGAAACTGAATGGAAGAGTCAAAGTGTTCAATGATTCACAAGGCTGATTTATTACCTTCTCAGAGTCAAGTTTCATTGAATGTACAGGTGCTGAACCATTGCACAGATGCGTTTCAGAGATGATGAATGCTTTGGAGCCGTCCTCCAGGATCTTAAGGATCACTCCATTGTCTAAGAAGAACCAAGATACCAAATGGCTGAGTAAGACTGTCTGTGGTCTGAAAGAACTAACGAAAGCTTTTGCAGTACAATACTAAGTGCATATAATGGAAAACATATTAACTCACATGGTGTATGATGGGCAATGATTTTTAAGCTTCAGACTATGATTCCATCCAACATGTCTGATATTTTGAACGAGTTCTTTTCTGTAACTATTTACAATGTCAGCAAGTGTATGATGCGTAGTGCTTAAAAATCTGTTCAGAATTTAAAAGTCATGTAATGCATTGTAAAGTGGTCATATCATCAAGAAACAAATTTACCATGATCTTTTGAAATGAAATTACTTATTAAACTCTCAAAGTGTGATGTTTCAGTTCGTTTCAGAACTTAAAACTTCCTCCGGAGTCCAAAAAGACTGTGGTTTCTGGTTGTGTGTAGCACCTACTGCTCTGCATAGGCCTATCATTCTTAAGGATCCCATTGTCATAAAAGAGTGGTTTAAGTTTATAAACGTTTCAGCATATGGTGTCTTTTTTGTGCAAAAATCCTTTATTAAAGGGGTCATATGATGCGATTTAAATTTTTCCTTTCTCTTTGGAGTGTTACAAGCTCTTGGTGCATAAAGAAGATCTGTAAAGTTGCAAAGACTAAAGTCTCAAATCCAAAGAGATATTC